TATACTGCTTGATGACTATGTCTTATCTCTACAGATGAGACAATATTTTTTTCTGTGTTTCCCAGAGTTCAGTCCCAGGTTTGGAAACTGATCTATATGCTAGTTCTAACTTGGTTTTATTCTGGGAGTGTTCCTGGGCCAAGTTAAATTCTATTATCTTTCTGACTCCAAATTCTGTTGAAAATAATGACAACAACAATAAAAAGATTGAAAAGTTATACCAAAATCTACCTGCGATGTAAAATCCTCTGATAATGAAAACAGCCTCGTGATCCTGAGTCACCATCGTTTCCTCAGATTCTAACTTTCTAAAAAATCAGTAACAGTGGAAGATGAGGTCCTAGTGACCCAGGTAAAGAGTCCCCAGTAGGAGTTAAGGGCCACAGTTTGTGTCCCAGCTCAGCCAACAACCACTGTGGAAATTTAAGCAAGTCATTTTATCATCTGAAACTGTCTCTTCATCTTGAAAGAGATTAGAATTCAAATTCATAATTACTTGCAGATCAGAGACCCCTCTGAGATTCTGCTGAAAACTGTTGACCTCCTTCCCTGAAGAAGCACAAATACTCTATAAATAGAATTCCAAGAGGGTCAAAAGCTCTTTAAAATCCACCCATAGATTCCCTAGAGGACTTTAGAATGATTTACATGGTCTAAAATATGTAGTTGAAAAAACAAAATAAATCTATTTACATGTGCTACTCCCTATGTGAATTAGTTTTAAAATGTGTATTTGGGCCATTATGTCATTTGACGTTTTATTACTTTTTTGTAACTTATAGTACTCAAAACAGAGCTAATTTTTCAATAGTGCCGAATATTTCCTTTGTGGATTAATAGCATCCTAGGATCTGCAAGGTTACATGTTCACCCTGCTACTCAATGCAGGAATCATCTATCACCTGCCTCAGAGATGCAACTATAGCTTTGACTTGAACATGTACAGTGATGAGGAACTCATTCATTTGTTTATTTCTGGCCAAACATAAAGAATTTGGGAATTTTCTTTTTTATATTGAGCTATAATCTGCCTATACACACAAATGTCAGCCATTGACCCTATTTCTGCTCTTAGCAGCTACATAGATTAATTTTATTTCCTTTTCCAGTATTTTAGGAAATCGAAGTCAGCCTCTATTGTCCTCTATTAATTTCCTCTATGCTAAATATTCCAGTTTCATCTATAATTCCTCCAGAAAAGTGATGTCATAAAACTACCTTTTATCTCAATTCCCTTCTTAAACAGTCCTCTTAAAATGCAGATGAGAACTAGGCAGCATGTTGCAGGAAAAGTCTAACTAACATGTGGTTAGAGAGCAGTTCCCTTTCTTATACTGCCAACTTCACTACTAGGAATACCACCAACACTGCCACAAGCTCTGTGCCTGGATACACCAGGTCAAGTGAAATTGTAGTCACCTAAAATCCCTAACTGTAATTAATTAAGGTTGCCCTTATACTCTATTTTGGTTTTTTTTAAGAACTAAATTAACCTTTCTGAAAACAAAAATTCTGTTGAACTCTACCTTAATTGCTTAGGCCATCATTCCAGCTCTTGGAAACCTTTACTCACTTTGTCATTCATGTCATCTTTTCCTCCAAATTTTGTGTTATCTACAAATGTAATGAGCCTCCTGTCTTTGGCTTCAAATTAATTGATTAAAAATACTGACCTGTGGTTTGCCAAATGTAAAACTCCCTCTATGGATTCAGTATTCAAAATTCTTCACTCAGTTACTTCACAGCTTTGTTGAATCCACATTTAACCATTTGATCTACAGAATAGAGAAGACAGTAAGTATTGTGTTCTGCTTGGGGTCAAAATTTCTTTCTTTTCCTTTTCTTTTATTGTCTGCTTTCTTTTCTTCATTCCTTCATATTTTCATATCGCATATCCTTGTCTTCTACATGGTCCCTTTTACTGTGTGCTCATTTTGCTTTGAAGAAAAGAACCTCCAATGTGTTTTTTGGGATTCCTTGGCCTTCTGCCCATATGCAGCCCTGGCTGAGTCTGCACTTGCTCCTGAGGTTGTTTGCCATGTACCAAGCCTCAAACCCTGTGCAAGGGAGGGATTTTCCTGATGCTCATTAGCATCTGGCAGAGGAGAAAGCTCTGAGTATTTCAACAACACCCCCAGACCGATTCATTTTCATCCATCTCTAGAATTACATCAAATGTAACCCTCCTCAAACATCAAACGGAGATTTAAAGAAAATTAAAACACAAATCATACGTGTGTTTTGGGATGCAGGAGAGGTGTAGGGAGAAAGAAATTATTACATAGTCCTCAGCAGACTTTTCACTTTAATCTCAGCATTATTGCATCTATAATCAGATGAATATTGATGATGGGAAAAGAGAGAGATTGCCTTGAAGGTTGCTTCAAAGCACACATCAACCAATCGTTTATTATCCAATTGAAGGACAGTATTAGAGTAAACTGCTTTGGGAATCAAAGAATTTGTTGTAGATATTCTGCTGAACAGCTCTTTGGTAACATGTCACCTGCTCCTGCCTCATCAATGTTTCACCTGGAAATAGTTGTGTCACAATTGTATAGGGCTAAGGAAGACCTTCTAACATTTGTCCAAGTGAGTGATTTTACTTTGCAAAATGTGTGGCTTTTTCATATAATTTTGTGATCATTATTATTATAAAATAATTCAATGTGGATCAGGATAAACAAGCAGACCTATTCTCAAGTGTGGAAAGTGGGTGATTAATTAATGAGTTAAACATCTTAATTATTGATTTTTTCCTTTATATTTAATCCCCTCATTTAGACAAATCAATGTGGACATTAAATTATTACCTCTTATTTAAAGAACATTATCTCAAACACAGATTTATTACTCTGTAGTTACCTTGAAAAAGATGAGCTCTGGAGTCATTAGAACCTTTGCAAACCTGGCAAGATATAGTCAACTTCAGCTCAGGAAGAGGAGTGGCAGGCGGCTGAATGATTACTGTGCCTTAGTATTTCAGAGGGAACCCCAAGACCTTGGTGCCAGGTTAATTGGTACTCCAAACCTATGATAAATCCTAGAGAATGATGGAAAGTTTGGGTCAGCAGCCAGAAAGATAAAGGTGAAAATGAATCAGGGTCTCTTAATAATGGAACTTTATGAGTTACTCATTCATACCCTCATTAATTCATTCAGTATGTATTGAGGGACTATTATGTGTCAGAACTTCTCTTAGCATCACAATACCCTTATAACCTTGTACAAATCATTTATCTTCTCTAAGTCTAAATTTTACTAGACAGGTGTTTACCACAAGGAGTTGTGAGGTTTAGTGACTCATGTATATAAGACTCCAGCAGAGTGAGCAGTTGGACACTCAATAAACCCTCTTCCCTTTCCCTGAGCACTGAGACCTCTTTTTCAGGTAATTTATGGTAGTATGAAATGAATTCCATGTCTTAGTAACAAATTTCTCCCTACAGTGTTAGATCAAGAAGAATTGTGAATAATGTATGTTTTCAGATGAAATTACATATTTAGATATTATTACAAGCGATAAAATATTTTGCAATCCATGAAGTCCAAGGATGTCACTGTTTGCCAAATAGCCCTCTGAGGCTTGCTGACAGCCGTACATGCAAACTTACACATTTCTTGAGACTCTTTGTTTTATAGCAAACATGAATAGTGACTTCATTTCATTTATCAATTCTTACTGGAGTGGTTTTTTTTAGTAATACTTAAAATAATCTCATAAACTAATTTTATAAGATACAAAAAAGTGTAAAATTTCACACATTAACCATCACTAGATGCATAAAGTGTCAGCTCCTCTGATGTCTTAACAGAATAGACTTGAGGGAAATGAAAGATAATTTTGTAGATTGAGTGTGGTTGTTGTAACTGTCTTCTGATTTATGCCGTAAATTTGAAATAATTTTGAAAAAAGTCTAAAGATAGATTATTCTGGAACTGCCAAAGGCACATACCAAATTGTTACTTCATTAATTCAATCAATCATTTAGACAATAAATATTAATGAGTACCTACTGTTTGCTAGGCACTGTGCCTGGGACTCCAAAATGAGATTACATATTTCTCAGCATCAAGGAGTTTTCTCTAATGAGAAAGATATGTGAACAAATACAGTTCTATAAGGTAATCAACAATAAATGTTCCAAGAGCAGGGGGAATATGAGAAAGTCTCTATCTACATGGGGAATTGAGGTAGCCATCAGAGAGGAGGCAAGCTGACACCAGAAGGATGAGTGGGAGATTATCAGGTGTGTGTAGGATGAAGATGTCTGGCAATGAGAATAGAACAAGAAAAGTGTGAAAGCCTGAGGGAGCCTGGAGTGGCCAGGGGGAAAAGTAGGTTAGTGTTGTTAAGTGTAAATTACCCTGAAAGCAAGAAAGGCTGTTGAGAAATGGTAGAGAGCCCAGATTACAAGAGCCTTGTATAGCAGGCAAATGTATGCCAATGTTTTTCCCACTGTGTAGGTTGTGGGGGAAGTTATTGAAGAATTTTGAATAGAGAAGTTCCATAATCACATTGGTATGTTTAGGTTCTGAGAGAAGATTCACAGTATTGTGATTGTTTTGTTGTTTATAAGATACAGAAATGGCACGCACACCCTTTTGTTCCTAGGGGTTTCAATAGTTCTTGTTGTAATAGAATTGAGGGATGCCAAAAGCAATATTTGAACTAAGTGATACATTAGAATTACAGAATTATAATAAGAATCTGTGAGCAGATTTTTAGTTAACAGGTTTTTAATAGGCTGTGATGCAATCCCTAATGGAAAAGCTTTAATGATGAAAGATAGCCTGCCTCTAATGGAAATTCATCTGGGTATGTTTTTATTGCTCAGTGAATTAAAAGGTTTCTATAGGATTACATTGTTAAGATTCTTGGAGAAAAACATATAAACACCAAATGAAAACTTTCCACTCTTTTATATCTCTTGCAGCAAAGCGGTTAATATTCCAGAAATGAAAATCATTTAAATTTTGCATAATTTTTATAATTTCAGGGGTTAAGCATCTGAAAGGCCAGAATGAATCAGCATTCCCTGAAGAAGAAGAAGGCACCAGTGAAAGAGAGGAGCAGCAGGACCATTAATTACTGGTCTGCAGCAAGAAGGCTTCTTGGAAATAACTGAACTATTAACTTTTCTGAATATACCATGGAATTCCACCGCTTGATTTCCGGAAGCATCCTCCATCTCTGCACCCGCACTCATACAGTAGCTATGCACCTCCTGGAAGTCTCCTTAACTGAACTTTAGAACTAAGTACACATTGTTCCACATCACTTACAATTAAAGAATAAGCATTTATTTTACAGTGATTCTTCTTTTTAACTATGTAAAAATTTGCAGACATGTGACTGTTCTAACTTTAATACTGCCAGAGCTTAATCCTTGATGTCCTACTGATAAGGTTTGCATTCTAACAACACATGTAAATAACATCACTTTAAGAGTAAAAAATAAATAGTAAACACATTTAGACATGAGTGTGTGTGTATGTGTGTATGTGTGTGTGGGTTTAACTTAAAGAGAAATATCTAATAAAACTTTTAGCTTAAGTTTTGCATTGATCAAATTTCTGTATCCAGAACACAACATAATGTTTATTTTTAAATGATGAAGAAATGCCAGTTTTCTTGATTCAATACACCACAGTATTAGATACTAAACATCTTTTTCCCACCAACAACACATTAATGGTTGATTATAAAACTACAGAACTCTCTTCATTTTCTAAGCTGAGAGATATATATTTCCCAGCATTTTCTCTAGTTATTAAGAAACACAAATGATAAATCTAAAAATCTATGCCAAATCTTCCTACCCCATTTTTTAGCTATTACTTTAAATTTGGGTCATCTATTTCCTATTGCATTTTGATAAATAATTAGCAGTTTATAAATCTTCCATATCAAAAAATAAGAAATTCCATTAATTTATTCATTAATTAAATAAATATCTTTTATGAGCTTATCCCTAGGAAGGTACTCTGCTGGGAATTATGAAAATAAAAAAAACATACTTTTACCCCTATAGAACTGGCAGAAAAGATTACAACATTAGCATAAAGCAAGATTTTATATGACAGTATATATTTATTGAATAATTTAAGTTCTGGGCATTTTGAACAATTTTAATTATACATTATTTGTGAAGGCAAGTATCTAAACTACAAAATTTAGGGGGAATGGAAGAATACCCAACTTGGTTCCTTTATTAGTAATATTAATGAAATTCAAATGTATCATGGATAAAAAAAATGGAAAGATTTCTCCAAACTTGGTAAAGGAAAAATGAAGGCAGGAAGAAAAAATCAAATATGTAATCCACTGTGGGATCTTAATATCAAGATTCAAATATGTAAAATGATTGCTTTTAATTTTGAATATGAGTTTTGTAATGTAGAAGTTAAGAGAGTTTTATGGAGCTGTCAGAGAATGCAGTGAGTTGACATTTTCCATAGTATTTTTCTCCAAGAAAATAAGTGTGAAACTCATTGATAAGCATACCACAAGTATAAATGACTATTCTAGTTTAATCTCTCTCTCTCCTTTCTTCTTTCCTTTCTTCTGTCTTTCTCCCTCCCTCCTTCCCTTCCTTTCTTTCTTCCTTTTCTCTCTCCCTCTCTCCCCTTCTCCCTCTCCTTCTCTGCCTTTCTGCACCACTCCCTTGACTTTTTCTTTGTTAAGCCAAAACTTTCTGGATTTTCTGTACCACCTGCTATGACTCTGTTTATTTCCCAAGTTTCTCTCTACTTAAAACCTGATTAAGCCCCTTATTTTAAGTGATTTTGAATTATTTGTGTTTGGAAAACATCTTAATGCCCCTTGAGAGTATTTGAGACACCCTGAGGTGCTAAAATATAGCATTGCCCTTCCCTTTCCTTGAACAGATGCTTTTAAAATGCTTTTTCAAAAGGACTCAGGCAAACAAAAAAAAACCAAAGCTTTTGCTGATTTTGTAACATCATTTAGGGTAATATACAGGATAGCTTCTGGATTTTTCTGTTCTGTTCTCCATTTAAAAACACAAAGAAATCAACATTAAGAGCATAAGTTTTCTTTGGGAAATGTTGTTTTCTTCCATTCTGTTCTCCACTCTCAAAACACAAAGAGATCACAATTAAAAGCTTAAGTTTTCCTTGGGAAATATGTTGACTTTCTCAGAAATTTGAAGGAAACCAGTTGAGATAATGGCTTTTCACTTTACTTTTCACACAATTACAGTTTACAAAATTTTTTTTTCTAGGAGGCAACTTGGCTTCAGTTTGGCAGAATGGGCAAAGAAACTGACAAAAGCAAAACAAAACAGAAACTGTGTTTTCCAGATCACATTTATAATATAATTGTTAGTAGCTGGGCTTCGAGTCATTCTGACTTGGATTCAACTACAGGCTCTACCAGATTTCAGACTCAGTTTCTTCATTTGTAAAGTGGGTACAATCATACCTAACCTACTGGGTTATTGTGAGGCTTAAATGAGATAAGACCTACAAAATACTTAGCCAAGCTTAGTGAGCATTTAATAATTGGTGTATATTATTATTAGAGTTAGAAAGGACTTCAGAGGCCTTCTATCTTAACTTTATCTACTTCATGATCCTCTTCAACATTATGAACAAGTGATTAATCACCCCACTTATTTATTTTTATTTTTATTTTATTTATTTATTTATTTATTCATTTTATTTATTTATTTATTTATTTAAGGGATGGAGTCTCGCTCTGTCACCAGACTGGAGTGCAGTGGCACCATCTTGGCTCACTGCAACCTCCACCTCCCCAGTTCAAAGCGATTGCCCCTGCTCAGCCTCCCCAAGTGGAGCTGGACACAGGTGCCCCACCGACCACCGCCCGCTGATTTTTTTTTTTTTGTATTTTTTTTGTCAATTTTACTAGAGGTGGGCTTTCCCATATTGTCCAGGATGGTCTCCATAATCCTGGAGCTCATGATCCCGCCCGCCTCAGCTTCCTAAAGTGGGGATTACAGGGCATGACCAACTGTGCCCGAGCCTGCCCCTATATTATTGCTTGAATAACTCGCGTTCCAAGTCAATCAAAGAGAGGCTCGCGATTGTTGCTTCACATCTGTTATATACTCTCCCTTTAACACCTTTCCTGCTTCTGTTGATTCATCCTTTGAAACTCCAGTTATATAAAAAGAAACATGTCTGATTCTTTCTTGATAAAATGTCATCAATTCTCCCAAACTTTCTTAATCCTTCCTCCACTCACTTCGGATCCGCTGTTTAGTTGTTTAATGATCTAAGAAAATGCTCTGTCCAGGTGAATAAGTTAGAGAGTTATTTTTCTATCCTCTAACCATGAGGAAAACAGCGCAGAATGTGGCAGGAGTCAGCAGGATTCTTGGACTAAGTTAATTTCGTATGGACTGGATAATTTTGTAACCCTTTTCTCTCCGCCGAGTTATCCAAGGTAAGTGGTATTTTAAAAAAAAAATACGTGCAAGACTTAAATTTTTTTACATTCAACCTGTTCAGGGTGTTAATTTATATATGGCCATATGTTTTATACATTATGGATGAACAGTATAATATTTAGGCTGGCCAGGAGACAAATTCTTTTAATTTTTGTAGTTATAAATATGATTATAATATGTATTAACGAAATCGAATATCGCAGCAACCGCCCCCAAATCGATGAAGATCTGCATAACCTATTAATTGCTACTCGGAGGAGCGAGGAAAAAAAAGTGAATGAATGTTGAAGTATATATTTAAGGGTTCTATTAAGAAAAATCATGTAGTGAGTACCTCAATCCGCAAAAAAGTCAAATATATAATTTGAATGGAAATTTGAACACTAGTTTTTGTTTGTTTTGGGTTTTAGTTTCATTGAAGAAATGATACTTTTATTGAGGTTGATAAACCACTTTGGTTGTGTGTAAGAGACCAATGATCCAATTTTTAATGACGAAAATATTTAAATATACAAGGATACATGATAGGATGTGATGAGATTAACTTATAAAATACGTAGCAAACAACATAACAAGAAAGAAAAGAGACAGTATTTGATAAATCAAAGTAGTTGAAATGTTAAGACTTGAGCCAAGTTTAGTACTGTGAAGATGTACTATATTTGATTTGTTTGTTTGTTCCTGGCCGATTTCTTTTCTTTCTTTTTTTTTTTTTTTTTTTTTTTTTTTTTTTAGTTTATTACTATACTTTAAGTTCTGAGATACCTGTGCAGAATGTGCAGGTTTGTTACATAGGTATACACATGCCATGGTGGTTTGCTACACCCATCAACCTGTCATCTACATTAGGTATTTCTCCTAATGCTATCCCTCCCCTAGCCCCCCACCCCTTGACAGGCCCCCGTGTGTGATGTTCCCCTCCCTTTGCCCATATGTTCTCATTGTCTGACTTCCACTTATGAATGAGAACATGCGGTGTTTGGTTTTTTGTTCCTGTGTTAGTTTGCTCAGAATGATGGTTTCTAGCTTCATCCATGTCCCTGCAAAGGACATGAACTCATTCTTTTTAAGGCTGCATAGTATTCCATAGTATATATGTGCCGTATTTTCTTTATTCAGTCTATCATTGATGGACATTTGTGTTGGTTCCAAGTCTTTGCTTTTGTGAATAGTGTGGCAAAAAAATACGTGTGCATGTGTCTTTATAGTAGAATGATTCATAATCCTTTAGGTATGTACCCAGGAATGGGATTGCCGGGTCAAATGGTATTTCTAGTTCTAGATCCTTGAGAAATCACCACACTGCCTTCCACAATGGTTGCAATAGTTTACCCTCTCACCAACAACGTAAAAGCGTTCCTATGTCTTCACATCCTCTCCAGCATCTGTTGTTTCCTGACTTTTTAATGATCACCATTTTAACTGTTGTGGGACGGTATCTCATTGTGGTTTTGATTTGCATTTCTCTAGTGACATGTGATGATGAGTTTTTTATTATTATATGTTTGTTGACCACATAAATATCTTCTTTTGAAAAGTGTCTGTTCGTATCCTTCACCCACTTTTTGATGGGGTTTTTGTTTTTTTCTTGTAAATTTGTTTAAGTTCCTTGTAGATTCCGGGTATTAGCCCTTTATCAAATGGATAGATTGCAAAAATTTTCTCCCATTCTGTAGGTTGCCTGTTCACTTTGATGGTAGTTTCTTTTGCCATGCAAAAGCTCTTTTGTTTAATTAGATCCCATTTGTCAAGTTTGGCTTTTGTTACCATCGCTTTTGGTGTTTTAGTCATGAAAACTTTGCCCATCGCTATGTCCTGAATGGTATTGCCTAGGTTTTCTTCTAGGGATTTTAGGATTTTAGGTTGTACATTTAAATCTTTAATCCATCTTGAGTTAATTTTTGTATAAGGTGTAAGGAAGGGATCCAGTTTCAGTTTTCTGCATATGGCTAGCCAGTTTTCCCCAACACCATTTATTAAATAGGGAATGCTTTCCACATTGCTTGTTTTTGTCAGGATTGTCAACGATCAGATAGTTGTAGATGTGTGGCATTATTTCTGAGGCCTCTGTTCTGTTCCATTGGTCTATATATCTGTTTTGGAACCACTACCATGCTGT